CTCAAAAAACTAAAAATAGAACTACCCTACAACCCAGCAATTGCACTACTAGGTATTTATCCAAGGGATACAGGTGTGCTGTTTTGAAGGGACACATGCACCCCAATGTTTATAGCAGCACTATCAACAATAGCCAAAGTATGGAAAGAGCCCAAATGTCCATCGATGGATGGATGAACAATGGAGTATTACTTGGCAATCAAAAAGAATGAAATCTTGCCATTTGCAACTACATGGATGGAACTGGAGGGTATTATGCTAAATGAAATTAGTCAGAGAAAGACAAATATTATATGACTTCACTCATATGAGGACTTTAAGAGACAAAACAGATGAATATAAGGGAAGGGAAACAAAAATAATATAAAAACAAGGAAGGGGACAAAACGTAAGAGACTCAGAAATATGGAGAACAAACTGAGGGTTACTGGAGGGGTTATGGGAGGGGAGATGGGCTAAATGGATAAGGGGCACTAAGGAATCTACTCCTAAAATCATTGTTGCACTATATGTTAACTAATTTGGATGTAAATTTAAAAAAAAATTAAATTAAAAAAATAAAAATAAAAATAGAAGTGAATGCAAAGTGATCAAATTGAACACAAATATGACACCGTCTTTCCCTTGCTTAACATATTTTGAATGGTGACCAATAACTATAGCATAAAGTCCAAAGTCCCCAGTATATCAGTAAGGGACTTAATGATTTAGACCCACCACCCAATTGGCAATTTTGCCAATTGACACCTACCCCTCTAGCCTTACCAAATTTCTTACAAACTCTTGCCACATGCAGTTGTCTCAATCTGAAATGCCCTTTCTGTAGGTCAATTGGAACACTGCCACTAGGCTTCTAAAGTTCATTTATTGTGTCCCACCTCCCATGGAAAAATTTCAAGTTGTTCCCTGGTCTCTGCCTTTAAAGCACCATGTTCATCCAAGCATTAACTTTTATCAATCGTTTTAAAAGTTTGCTTATTTGTCTGTAAATGTGACTAGAAATATTGTTTTATATTTGTACTTCCAGTGCCTAACAGAGCATCAGCTTGAATTCAAGAATGGATGGATACCTCCCTGAAGCTGCTGCAACTATTCTGTAGGCAATTGATTGGTTCCCTTCCTCCCTCCTCCTTTAATACTGTCTATATATTTCCAGAATAGTACTTATTACCTTATATGTCCATCTCTCCAATATAGTCTGTGAGTAGACCATTCTTTCCTATTGTTTTAGTTTCTGGTTCTAGCATATAATATGCCCTGAAAAACTTGAAAGCATGCTTCTCAAACTTGTGAGTGGTACTATATTTTGTAGGTCAAATGCCAGAGTTTTGATCCAAAAAGACCTGGGTTTTTGTTTTTTCACGATATGGAAAGGCTGGAAAGATGGACCCAAACAAGCCAAATCAAATTTGACAGAAAGAGGTATAAATCTCCAAGTTTTGGTACACATTAGGTTTTTATTTGCAAGGTTGGAGAGAACTGAGTCAATAGTATGATGTGACTGAAAATAAAACACAGACATGCACTCTATGAATTAATAAAGCACAGAAGCTGGAGCAAGAGAGTTGTGCCTTGTCATACTATGAACCCTTCAGATGTAACTTGGGTGTTGTATAACTTATGGGCCACATTAACAAAATAGGAAAATTCCAGAAGTGGGTAAATGGGCTCATGAGTGGCCTGAAAACTGCAAAAATAGGAATAATTAGAAGAATAGGAATGCCTGGCTTGGGAAAAGGGAGCAGGGAGAGCAGGGGAGACAGACTATGGAGTATTAGCTCAAGGGTTGCAGATTCCATTCAACCTACTTTCGATTATTAGGCCTGTATATCTTCCTCATTTTGCAAATGAGGAAATTTGTAAAGTTTAATGGAGTTACCTGAAATCACTCGGCTAATAGAGCTAGGGCTCAACTCTGATCCATTATATTGAGCTGCTGGAAGAGTTGGGCTTCTTTAAATGTTTATCTTTATAGCATTTTCCTTTTATTTAAACCCCTAGTTGTATTACCAAATGCATTTTCAGTACATTGTAGATTGAAACTAGTCATCACTGGAAACATTTGGGGAGAAAACTCTCATCACAGACGAATAGGAGAGTCTTGTAGTTGGTTGGAGTTTAGACTTGAAACCCTCCTAGGTTATTTCATATACTAAGGTTTCAAAATTCTGTGATATAACATACATATTTGAGTTAATGCATAACTACTTTATAATTAAGCAGTGCAGTTTGAGCTCTGGAGTCTGAGTTTCAATTCCTGCTCTGCCACTTACCAGCTAAGAGGTCTTGGGCACATTTTTAACCTCTCTTGTCCTCAGTATCCTCATTTGTAAAAGGGAGAAGTAATATTTAACTCATAAAGTTATTGTGAGGGCAAAGACCTAGCAAACAGAAGTCAACAAACATGAGTCTAGCTGTATGTATGGGAATGAAAGAGATTGTCAAAGGAGAGGGTATAAAGTAAGAAGGGCTAGGGGCGCCTGGGTGGCGCAGTCGGTTAAGCGTCCGACTTCAGCCAGGTCACGATCTCGCGGTCCGGGAGTTCGAGCCCCGCGTCGGGCTCTGGGCTGATGGCTCAGAGCCTGGAGCCTGTTTCCGATTCTGTGTCTCCCTCTCTCTCTCTGCCCCTCCCCCGTTCATGCTCTGTCTCTCTCTGTCTCTCTCTGTCCCAAAAATAAATAAACGTTGAAAAAAAAAAATAAAGTAAGAAGGGCTCTCAGGGCAGAACCATGGAGAACACCAATATTTAGCTGGTGTGCTGGGTTGAAAAGTATTCCCCCACAAACTCTTGTCCACTGGAAACCTTATTTGGAATTAGGATCTTTGCAGATATAACCAAGTTAAATTGGGTTAGGATTAGCACCCTAATTCAATGACTGGTATTCCTAGAAGAGGGAAATCTGGACACAGAGAGATGCACAGGAGGAAAATGATAAGAAAACATGGGGAAGAGACTGTTACATGGAGACCATAGACACAGGGAAGAAGGCCAGGTGGCCACAGGGACAGATTGGTGTGATATATCTATTAAGCAAGAAACACCAAGGACTAAGGGCAACCGCCAGAAGCTAGAAAGAGGCAAGGGTTAGGGTTAGAGCCTTCAGAGAGAGCATGACCTTGCCAACACTTTCATTTAAGATTTCTAGCTCCCAGAACTGTGAGAATAAATTTCTCCTGGGTGGACAAATTCCACCCAGTTTGTCCTACTTTGTTATAACATCCCTAGGAAACTAACACAGTTGGTGAACAGTCGGACAACACAGGATGGGCGAGAACACTTCATAGTTTCAAAACTGTTTCATAAATATATCTCAACCGATTTTCACAAATACCTCGTGAAGTAGCAGTAAAGTTTGTAGATAAGAAAATAGATAATCAGAAGTATTAGGAACTCGATAGAAGGTGGCAGAAGAAACAGAATTTCAACCCGAGTAAAAGGTCCTCTTCACTCTGACCCTGTGAAGCAAAATGCTTCATCCTTTCCCAGTCTTTTTGAAGCTTCCTTCCCTAGCACAATTCCAACTTCAACCTCTGACCTCTGGCAATTTGCTTTCAGGAAGATCACTGATCAGTGAATTCTACATGAATTACATTGTCTAACTTTTTGCATTGTACAGCCTTAACCCTTACTATGGAAAGACCTTATCCCTTATCCACACAGGTAAGGAAGACATACTGGGGATGAACGGGTCATTCCTCTTCCTATCGTTCAGAGACAAGGCAGCAACCTACCCCACTAACTCCTGTTTCCATGGGCAATTTCAGCAGAAAAAAAAGTAGAGCTGTGAAACGATAAAGTTGTAAACACTCCATATTATATAATTCCAATTGTGTGCCCGTCCTGGCACAGATTTACTAACTTTCCTCGGATTACACAGCTAGCTCCTCAGTTTCTGAGTAAACAGAAACCCTCGGTTCAATGTTCCTTCCATTAAACCACCCTGTCTGTTCCTGCATAGAGATTCCTTGACACTACTTCCCTGGTTTGTTTGTTGTTGTTGTTGTTGTTGTTTTGGATTACAACGAAAACTTTCAGCGGAATGACCACCCCAGGGAAAAAAAAAAAAAACTTTTTAAAGTTAATCTCTTTGAGCTTCAGTTCGTACAGGTAAAAAGATAACACTTATTCTCATTATTTCCTGAGAAGCATACACGATAGGTAAAACACCTGGCACAACAAATTTTGCCCCAAGACAGCACAAATCAAGGTCTGGGGTTTTTTTTGTGTGTGTTCAATGACCCCCACCTGGAGACCCGAGATCCCGGCCTTGGCAGCCGCGCGGGGTAAGCCTCCGCCCTAGGCGCTGTTTGAGGGCGTGGCCGGTGGAAAGGACCCGGTTCACTCCGCCCCATTCGCGGTGCCCGGCGCGCCTGATCGCTTCGGCCCTTTGCTCATCCCGCACCCCGATCCGACGGCGCCCATGTCTCTTCTAACTTAGTACCGGTGACGGGGACGTCTTGGAGGATTTGGATCCGACGTGGAATGAGGCACAGCCTGTGACAGCCCGGGCCCGGAGCGCCGCGGCCACTTGAGGTCCCCGCCGTCGCCACGCCCGCGCGCTGTCGCTTCGGCCCCGCCCCTCCGAGAGCCGAAGCTGTTGGGTTCCAAGACCGTGCTCTCTTTCTTACTGTTCTCCGTACTACCATGCCTCTGTATGAAGGCCTGGGGAGCGGCGGGGAGAAAACGGCAGTCGTGATAGACCTAGGAGAGGCTTTTACCAAGTGAGTGACGGCGGCGCTGGCTGCGGTCGTCCCCGGGGGAGGGCGGGTGGTCGAGGCCCGGGCCGGGTCCCCCCAAGCTCGCTAGGCAGGTCGCCGGGTCTCCACTTTTTCCTCCCGCACCTCCGCGAATGACGGCCCGTATTACTTTCACTGTGAGCGATACGAATCCCGAGGATCCGGTTCTGACTGTTGGGGAGGCCCAGGAGGCTTCGAGAGAATTGTCTTCTCCGCTGGTGTCTTCCATGCAGGGGATGACAGCGATGACTTAGACCCTTATCCTGGTCTTGTTTGCTTGGGAAGGTAGCAACCGAACTAACGTAGACATAATTTATTGAGTGGAGCGGCTGTTGGCACTGGAAATTCGAGTACAAGACAGAGCCATTGCTCCCCAAGAGTAGGAAGTCAAATGAGAGAAACTGCACACATAAACAAAGAGGTGAAGCCCTATAGGTAAGACTCTAGATCCTTTGTTGCACCGCCCTTTGTTGCCCCAAAATCTTAGATTAGGAAATTTGACGTTTTAAAAGGCAACTTGTAAACACTAGAGTATTAGTTTTCAATCTTTTGGATGGCATAGATCCCTTTGACGACCGAAAGAAAACCACAGATGCACAAACCTTAAAATATTTGCACAGGGTTTCAGGGTTTGGCGAACCATCACAGTGGTCCTTGGACTTCAGGTTGAGAGCCCTTGTACTAGGTTCAAGAGAGAGGAAAGTAACAGCCAGAATTGCCTCATATAGGTATTTGAAATAGAAACATCTGAAAATCTTTATATATATCTGAACATTGCCTAATATATAGTAGGTGCTTAATAATTATTTGTTGAGTAAAGGGTCAAAACCGCCTATTTAAGAATTAGACTTCAGGTGCTTCAGAATTGGATTAAACATAGTTCTTGATCCATGACATTCTCCTAGTGTTCAATGCAAAATCTTCCCTTATTTATGTTTTCTTATTTTAAAGGCTTATTTTAATACCATAATAAGTACCTTGAGACTAACAAAGATAATTACTCTGGCTATGAGGAAATGAGAAGCAGAAAGCTACTATACAGGAAGGTGATTATTGACAAAGACAACAGGAGGGTGATAAGATGAATTTATGAAGTAAAAGAAAGGAATTGAAATCAACCAGTGGGTTGTTGCATCCTGGGGAATTTGAGAAGTGGTGTAAGTAAACATGATGTGACTAGTAGAAGATAGAACTATTTGGAGATAAGAGAGCAGTACTGAAAACTAGACAGGACAGGAGGAGATAATGTTAAAACTAAACTTACATGGTGATCATTTTTAGCAGCATTTTTTGGAAAGTTTTGTTGTACTAACATGAAACATACATGGAAATACCTAAATACTCAGGAGAATCCTTTTTGGGTTTTTTGGTTTGTTTTTATAAAGGATGAATTAGGGGGCACCTGGATGGCTCAATCCATTAAGTGTCCGACTTCAGCTCAGGTCATGATCTCACAGTTCGTGGGTTTGAGTCCTGCGTCAGTCTCTGTGCTGACAGCTAAGAGCCTGGAGCCTGCTTTGGATTCTGTGTCTCCCTTTCTCTCTGCCCTCCCCTGCTCGTGTTCTTTCTCTCAAAAATAAATAAACATTATAAATAAGTAAATAATAAAAGGATTGAATATACATAACAGTGAAGACTATAATAATGTGGGCAGAAGCTTATTGTGTGAGTTCATGATGTGTGAACAGCGTGATTATGTCAAATATGCATAGTGTAAAAAAAAAAATAGACCAAAAGCAAACCAATATGGAAGCTAATAATATTAGAATGATGGAATTATGTATAACTCATAATTATAACCCTGGATTTCTACCACATTATGGGATTTCATTATGTGAAATAAAATCCCATAATGTAGTGGAAATCGAGGGTTATAGAGATATGCTTCCTGAAACTAAGGTAAAATTTATTTTTTAAAAAAAGTTTATTTATTTTGAGAGAGCAGGGGAGGGGCAGAGACAAGGAGAGAGAGAGAATCCTGAGCAGGTTCCACGCTGTGAACACGAACTGTGAAATGATAATCTGAGCTGAAATCATGAATTGGATGCCTAACTGACTGAACCACCTAAGCACCCTAGGTAAAATTTAAAACTAAAAAAAAAGTACATGCTGATCTGAAATTCTGAAATAGTATACTGGTTTACAATATCACTAATTTGAAACAATTTTTTTTTTTACCTATAATACACAATAATGGATTGGATGGTATTTCTTTTTAGTTTCTTTGCCCCTTTGAATACATCAGAGATGTTTTCATATGTTTTTTGTGACCGCTGCTTTGAAACAAAGGTAGAAAAACTTGCTTCTGTGACAAATACACAGAAAGAATGTTATAAGTTGAATGTTTCAATTTTCTGTTATTTGCAGGTGTGGATTTGCTGGAGAAACTGGTCCAAGATGCATAATTCCTAGTGTGATAAAAAAAGCTGGCTTGCCTAAGGTATTTTTTTTTAACAATTTAGCAAAACAAATGCTGTACTGTAAACTTTTTTTTAAATGTTTATTTACTTATTTTGAGAGAGATAGTGAGAGAGCACGCACACATGAGCAGGGGAGGGACAGAGAGAGAGGGAGAGTAAGAATCCCCAAATCCCAAGCAGGTTCTTGCCCGTAAGCGCAGAGCCCAATGCAGGCTCGATCTCACAATCATGAGATCATGACCTGAGTCAAAATCAAGAGTTGAATGCTTAACCAAACTGACCGAGCCACCCACGTGCCTCTGTAAAGTATTTTTTATGTGACTTCAAGTAAGTTTGATTACAACAGTGCTAAATATATAATTTATGACTGTATTCCAAGAAAAAATTTTTACATCATTATTTCATTTTAAAAGTTTCCTGCCAAAGCTAATTTGACAGATTAGGACTTATAGAACAATTGGAAGAATAATTTTTCGTGCCATAGAATTCACCTATTAAAATCAAATACAGATGCTCCTGCCTTAACTTAATATTTGCATTCCTGAAGGACTTCCCTTTGATCACAAATGGGAAAAGTAGGGCTGAGGGAGACCATATAAAACCCATGTAACTTTGCAAAATAATAATTGATCCCTCAGGAAAAAATTGGAATAGCTTTGGCTTGCAACTGAGAGTGACTGGAGGCTCTCTCGGAGATAGTAAAAATAAAATGAAATGATGGATTGAAAACTTTGGTCAGTGGGTGTTGAGACTGGGCAGATGATAGGGTGTGGGGCCAATGGGGCTATTTATTGTTAAGGAACCAAGAGGAAATGCAGCCCAGTGAAGAGTCATGAAAGGGTCTGCTTTGGAAAAGGAGCCTCTGGTACAGAAAATCATTTAAGCTTTTGAAAAATAGATCTGAAAGGATGCCTACCTGTTTGGTTACTGAGTTGATGATTCTCTTTCTTGATGAGAGTTACAACTGTTATAATTTTAGCTCCTCTTGCCTTACATGAACTAATAACGAACATAATACAAATTACATGTTATGCAGACATTATTCCCTTATTTAACAATGGGATATGATCATATTTGGTTTTATAAAACACATGTTGTAGCAGAATAGATTAGTACATCAATTTATATTTGGCATGGGGGTGATCATTAAGATCAACACAAAATATGTTGATTCAGAAAGCTTTTTAATTATGCTTGATTAGGGAATCATTTTATTGATTGCAAAATTTTCTGCAAATCCTTGGGTAAGCGTTAATGTAATAGATATATGTGGTGTGGTATTCAAAATGTGATGGAAGTTCCTGTTTATTCACTTTTTATGTTTTTTTGCTTTATAATACTTGATTTTAATGTGATACTTGATAAATTACTAGATAGATTCCTGACTAAGAACTTTAACATTCTCATTGACACTTTTCTTAGTGCTTTCAGCTTTTTTTTTTTTTATTATTGTTTATTTTGAGAGAGAGAGAGAGAGCACAAGCAGGGAAGGAGTAGAGAGAGGGGGACCAGAGGATCTGAAGCAGGCTCTGCACTGACAGCAGCGAGCCTGATGTGGGGCTCAGACTCACAAACGGTAACATGACCTGAGCCGAAGTCGGACACTCAACCGACTGAGCCACACAGGCGCCCCAGTTCTTCCAGCTTTTATCTTCATCTGGAAAAGACAAATTTCTGTGAAGATTAATCTCTAATCAGCCATACATGGTTTGGAACCTTTTGTAAGCTACATAAAATCATGAAATTAGCGGAGCTAATGGTATTGTCATTAAAAGAGTAAATAGAGGTCTACCAGTGATGCATCAGAGTACTTAGAGCTTTCTGAGGATCATAATTGAAGTCCTTGTTATGTATTGGTGTTGACTTAGCACTCATGGCTTGGGAGTGTTTGCCTTTACTCTTGTAATGCTAATAGTGTATGTTCTCATTTTTACCACACGTATTTGTAAGCATGTATTTTGTGCCTGGTACTGTGTTAATTAAAGGAAGATGTATCGTAGGCCCGACACCATGTGCTTGGCCCTTGGAGTAGGTAGTCTGTTGGGAAGGTACACATTTTACGAGTAATTAAGTGGGGTGATCTTATCAACAGGAAAGTGTTGGTGCTTTGAGAGTGACTTGCAGGCCCTGAACCAAGTCTGGAGTGTTTGAGGAGGCTTTTCATACTTTTTAATCAGTGCTGATTTTTATCAGTCCTGGCAAAATGGTAAGTCCAGATAGAGGAAAAATTCGAATTAGCATAGCTCTCTGCTTGTGAACACATACTTTTATCCCCACAAACCAAAAGTTCTGTCATCTTCGATGAGCAATTCTTAAAGATTCCTAATTTAAGTGATTAATTTATATTTAGGGTTTGTATTTATTCTCAATACAGATTACTTTTGATTTATTACTGGGAAATGGGTTAGTACAATAAATAACCATATATTAATTTGAAATTATTTTGTTATTATATATTAATAAATCATTTTAATTTTTTGTAGCCTATCAAAGTTGTTCAATATAATATCAATACAGAAGAATTATATTCCTACTTAAAGGAATTCATCCACATACTGTATTTCAGGTAAGATGTAGTTATGGTTTTTTCCCCCCTCAGCTTTTGTGATTAGATTTTCCTAAGGCCAGTCATAGTGATATTTTGTTGTGTTACATCGGATGCAAAAAAGAGTTGTCTTCCATTACCATTTTTACTTGTTTATTTTAAGCTGTTTCCAAAATATATTTGAAGACTAGATGATTGGCAAGCATAAGAGATACTGAAAGCAAATTAAATGTTCATTTATAAAGGAGGTTGGATAATTAAATTATTATATATCCATATAGTGAAACACCTTACAGCCATTAAAAAAGAGTTCTGTGTATGTAGTTATATAAAAGGTGTCTTAGATATATTGATATTTGAAAAAAGTAAGTCGCAGAACAACATCTATGGAATAAATATTTCTGTTAAAATACGTGCATACACATGGACAATAATGAAGATATACAAACTGCTGTAAGTGGTAGTTTCTGTGTAGTCGAAGTATAAAATATTTGTACTTTTCAAATTATAAACTTCTATTATATTTGGAGTTTTATGAGCATATATTACTTTTGTAACCTAAAAAAAGAAAAAAATCTTTTTAGTGCTTCAAGTGTGTATTCAGACTAGGCTGTAACTTTTGTTTTCTGAGATAATTGCGTTAACAAAGATTGTGACACAGTGCACGGCATGTAATAAGAGGTCAGGAATGTTATCTTTACCAAGTAATAAAATGAAGATGTCTTTCTCTTCTTAACAAAATTGCACTATGTGCCAAAATAAATACAAACTTTTATTTACGTTTGTAAATGAAAGCTGTCACCTTCCAGGCATCTATTGGTGAATCCTAGAGACCGCCGAGTTGTGGTTATCGAGTCGGTATTATGTCCTTCCCACTTCAGAGAGACACTCACTCGTGTTCTTTTCAAGTATTTTGAGGTACCTATTTTTATGTTGTTTCTTTTTAATTTTTTTTATGTTTATTTGTTTATTTTGAGAAAGAGAGCAGGGGAAGGGAGAGAGAGGGCGGGAGAGGGGAGAGAGAATCCCAAGCAGGCTCTGCACTGAGAGGGCTTGAACCCACAACTGTGAGATCATGACCTGAGCCAAAATTAAGAGTTGGATGCTTAACCTACTGAGCCACCTAGACACCCCAGTTGTTGTTGTTGTTGTTGTTAAAGAGATTCATTACTTTGCCTTCTTAAAAAAATTTTTTTATTGTTTATTTTTATTTTTGAGAGAGAGAGAGAATGACAGAGTATGAGGAGGGGAGGGGCAGAGAGAGATGGAGAATCTGAAAGCAGCTCCAGCCTCTGAGCTGTCAACATAGAGCCTGATGTGGGGCTCAGACTCACGAACTGCGAGATTAGGACTTGAGCTGAGGTCGGATGCTTAACCTACTGAGACACCCAGGCGCCCCATTACTTTGCTTTTTAATTTTTTTTTTTTAATATTTATTTTTGAGGGAGAAAGAGCACATGAGTGGGGGAGGAGCAGAGACAGAGGGAGACACAGAATCCAAAGCAGGCTCCAGGCTCTGAGCTGTCAGCACAGAGCCCAATGGGGGGGCTCTAACTGGCAAACTGTGAGATCATGAGCTGAGCCAAAGTCAGACACTTAACGGACTGAACCACCCAGGCGCCCCTGTTGTTTTTTGTAGGTACTAAAGCTTAAACTAAAAGATCCTCATTTAATTTCCTTCATTGTATATACTACACAATCCATTTAAGAAACCAGGTGAGAATACACTCAAACCACTTTAAATTAACCATTTATTTTCTTTTCTTTGTATGGTTATTTCACATGTAATCAGCATTTCATCTAATACTTAGAAAACTGAAGATTTCTTCTTACTGATATTTTCTTTTTTTTTTTTAATGTTTATTTTTGAGAGAGAGAGAGAGAGAGAGAGCGCGCGCGCGCGCACAAGAGGGGGAGGGGCAGAGAGAGAAGGAGCCACAGAATCCAAAGCAGGCTCCAGGCTCTGAGATGTCAGCACAGAACCCAACATAGGGCTTAACTCAACGAACTGTGAGATCATGACTTGAGCCAAAGTTGGATGCTTAACCAACTGAGCCACCCAGGTGCCCCTCTTATTGGTATTTCTGTTATTTATTTATTTTAATATAGGTTTTTATGTTAGGGGACTTTTTTAGAATTAAAAGATACATTCTTTACTATGGAGCTTATGATGTATTTTTTGCAGGTCTTTCTGGTTTCCAGTGTTTAGTTACTCTGACTGCTCTAAACTCTTTAGTTCTTTCATGTTAGTCTTTAAATTCCTATTATATATAAAAAAAAATTCCTACTATACCAAGAAATTCCTATTACATAAAGAAAAATTCGTATTGTATCTTATTATATCTAATATTCAAATAATGTCTCCCTTAGAGTAAGTGTGCAGTGCTAGGAATGACTCTCAAATCTTGATTGTGATAATATTACTTATAGTTTTCATTTTATAGGGGTCAAGATTATTTAAAGACCAAAATTATGGTTTAAGGTGATTATATTTCATTTTAGGCCAGAATCTTTATTATTCAGATTTTTGAAAATTTTTGCCGTACACATTTAGGGTTTTTCAACAAGGGAGACTAGAAGATTGTAGAAAATGTGTATAATGGGTGAGAAATCAGGGGTGCCTGAGTAGCTTAGTCAGTTGAACATCTGACTCTTGATTTCAGCTCAGGTCACAATTCCAGGGTTGTGGGATCTCGTCTTGTGTCGGGCTCTGTACTAAGCATGGAGCCTGCTTAAGATCCTCTCTCTTTGCCATTCTCCCTGCTTGCGTTCTCTCTCCAAAAATTAAAAAAAAGAAAGAAAGAAATTAAGCACATAACAATTTATTTTTTATATATTCTACTGAGCTCAAAATATATCAGAAATCACAATGCGTTTGAGTAAAGAACAGTTAATATTTCTAAGTTATAGTTTAGTAAGGCAGGCCCAGAGAAACAGGTTACATATTCTCCTGTACTTACTGATGTCATAAACTTAGGGATTTGGTTTGCCGTTTAGAAAAAAAAACAAAACAGGAACAGCATCAACACTTATCTGAATAAAACAGATGAGTATATTTACATTTAGAGCTTTAAGTGGGTTTGTGTTGGTATCCTTATCTTGTATGTGGCTGGAAACCTGCTGTGTCTACTTAGATAATGGAACTACAGCCATTATTTTTAGCATTTAGTTATGAGGACTTTCATATTTTGATTGAATATTTAATATTTGAGGTGTCACCAGATCTGGAAAATTCTCACTGAAACATGTCACATAGAACCAAAGATTTTTATAGATCTTCAATTTAATTTTAACTGCTATATTATATTTTAGAACTAGAGTTCAGGGTCGTCCAGGTAGCTCAGTCAGTTAAGTGTCCAACTCTTGATTTCAGCTCAGGTCATGATCTCAGAGTTCATGAGCTCGAACCTTGTGGCAGGCTCTGTGCTGACGGTGCGAAGTCTGCTTGGGATTCTCTCTCCCTCTCTCTTCCCCTCCTTGGCTCATGCATGTGCTTGGGTTCTCTATCTTTCTCTGAAAATAAATTAATTAATTAAAAAAATAAATAAATACAGGGCGCCTGGGTGTCTCAGTCGGTTGAGCGTCCGACTTCGGCTCGGGTCATAATTTTGCAGTTGACGAGTTTGAGCCCCACGTTGGGCTCTGTGCTGACAGCTCAGAGCCTGGAGCCTGCTTTGGATTCTGTGTCTCCTTCTCTCTCTGCCTCTCCCCTGCTCATGCTGTGTCTCTCTCTGTCTCAAAAATAAAGATAAGCATTAAAATAGATAGATAGAGCTCATATTACAAACTTTGTGAGTAAAGACAATCAAGAATCTTTTTCTTGGGGTGCCTGGGTAGCTCAGTTGGTTAAGCGTCCAACTTTGGCTTGGTTCATGATCTCATTGCTCATGAGTTTGAGCCCCGCATCAGGCTCTGTGCTGACAGCTGGGACAGAGCCTGGAGCCTGCTTCAGATTCTGTCTCTGTCTCTCTACCCCTCCCCTGCTCGTGTCGCGTGCTCTCTCTTTCTCTCTCTCTCTCCCCGCCAATGTAAAATAAAACATTAAATTAAATTAAAATAGAATAAATAAAAAAGAATCCTTTTCTTAATTTTCATTTTGATGACAGAAGCATCTCTTTATTTTTTTAATTTAATATCTTCCTTAGAATTTATGTTTCTGTATCTCTTCTTTTATCTCTTTGAATTTTTCCTCCAAAAGAGAAAGAGCAAGAATTAATAAAAATGTTTCATAATTGCCATTTGGAATAAAAACAACTTAAAGGATTTAAAGAGTGTTTTTTTTTTAATTTTTTTTTTAACATTTATTTATTTTTGAGACAGACAGAGACAGAGCATGAACGGGGAAGGGTCAGAGAGAGAGGGAGACACAGAATCCAAAACAGGCTCCAGGCTCTGAGCTGTCAGCACAGAGCCCGATGCGGAGCTTGAACTCACGGACCACAAGATCATGACCTGAGCTGAAGTCGGACGCTTAACCGACTGAGCCACCCAGGCGCCCCAGGAGTGTTTTTATTTATTAAGGTATATAGTTAGATTATGTAAATTCAGATAAATCAACAAACAGCCATAAAATGGTTGAAAAGCTATCATAAATATAATGTTACTGTGAATTTTTTCAAGTATATTTGAAATATAAGGGAAGCATCTTCAACTACTAATACTTCAGGTTTTGTTGTTGTAATTGTTATTTTGGTTTTGCTCTTTCCCAGGTTCCATCTGTCCTGCTTGCTCCAAGTCATCTAATGGCTCTTCTGACACTTGGAATAAATTCGGCCATGGTCCTGGATTGTGGATATAGGGAGAGCCTCGTGTTACCTGTATCTTTTTTTGTCAACCAGCTTATTTCACAGCTTTTACTTTGCTTTCCCAGTAATTAGGCTCATTATGATTGGTGTTTGTGGTATCAAACTGTTTTGGGTTACCATATACAAATATGAATTCCCATGTAGAAAAAATTCACAAGATTGTCATGAGACTTAAATTTGGTGGAAATTACCATTATGACATGGTCCCAGTATATACTCCAGGGGTCAGACCTCATGAATATCATGTTCAGTTTTTAAGAAGAACATCAGCTAATTAGGATGTGTCATAGGACTTGACTATCTTAGTCACGTTCTAAGAAAAGGTAATACAAAGAGTAATTGGAGAAAGTGAAATGAGAAAGTTAAATCAAGAAAAAACATGAAATCTGCCTTCAGATGCTGAAGGACTTACTGTGGGAAAATGAGTACGTTTTCTCCTTTTTCTATTTCTGCAGGCTATCACAGAGGCAATAGTGCGTAGGGTTTATGATGTTGGTTTTGGAATCAAATACGTAAGTGGTAAATCTAAGCTATGCTTCTTACTATCTATATGATATTAGTCAAGAAATCTCTTTGGGCCTTAGGTCTCTCAACTATGAGATGAGAATTAAAATATTTCCACCTCATGGAGGGGTATTGTGTGACTTAAATGGGGTAATGTATGTAAAGTATTTAGCATATGATCTGGCATGTAATAATTGCTCAGCAAGTGCCGTAGTTTTTGTATCAATCACCATTGGGAAGAACTTCCTCGTAATTCATGCTGTCCGAAAATGGAATTAGTGACCAAATACACTGGTGCATTCCTTGTCGTTAGAAGCAGGGTATAGGTAAAGGCTGTTAGAAATGTTACAGTGCGCATGGCTCCAGTGAAAACGAGATTGAAATCTCTAAATCCATGATTCTTGAGCAGTTTTGAGATCTACATACGTATTTATTAGAAGAAATGCTTGTGGGCATGAAATCAAGAATCAGTAGCTCCTAAAGAACTAAATTAGGTAATATCTTTTTGATTTATCTTTTTTAAACTTTTAAAATATTTTTTTAAGTTTATTTTGAGAGAGAGAGAGAGAGAGTATGCACAAGACAGGGAGAGGGGCAGAGGGAGAGAATCCCAAGCAGGCTCCACACGGTCAGTGCAGAGTCCATTGTGGGGGACGGGGCTCCAACACATGAGCCCTGAGGTCTCATGAGCCCTGAGCTGAAACCGAGAATCCGTTGCTTAACTGACTGAGCCACCCAGGCACCCTGGTAATAGCTTTTTAAATATAAACTATTTTGTGTTTATATCTTGTAACAATCCTGCCACGCAAGTAGTATTCTCCTTATTATATAACTGAGAAGATGGAAAGTTGGGATAGTTGACTGCAGGTCATATAAGCATATAGCCAAGGTATATAACCATGTTTGTTTCTAAAGCCAATGCTCTTACCAATATATATATTTTTTAAACATTGTACATACAGACAATATGGAAAATAAGGTAGCAAATCTTCAGTACAGTATTGTCCACTATCCTCTCAGCTCTGGTAGAAATACAACGTGAGACATATGTAATTTAAAATTTTTCTAGTAGCTACATTTTTAAAGTATAAGTGAAAGATGCAATTACTGTATTTAACCCAATATATTCAAACTATTAGTTCCACATAAGCTGTATAAAAACTATAATGAGATATTTTATAGGGCTTTCTATATGTGTGTGTTAAGTCTTCTAAATTTGGTATTGGGTTTGTTCTTACAGCACATCTGAATTCAAACTGGCCACATTTCAAGTGCTCAGTAGCCACATGTGGCCAGTAGCTACTTTATTAGACACCTCAGTTCTAACTAATGAATTCTGTGTGTATATGTGTGGGTGTGTGTAACCTTTGTCTTTGGAGAAAATTTTGAAAAAAGACTGATATTTTGTACCTCTTAAAAATATTGAGAACCTGTTACCAAAGCTGACTTAATACACAGAAGGTAAGGAAAATACCAAGGAAACCACATTTTATCTCCTAAAATGTTTACATCCTTGACTACCCTATAGATATATGAAGGGATCCCAGTACTGAATTGTTGGGGAGCACTCCCTCTAGGAGGAAAAGCTCTTCACAAGTAAGTTTCTTGGGATTTAGCACATTTGCTTCACCTGTACCACAAAAACATGTTAATATTTTGACAGTATCAATAGAAGGTTGATGGACATTTAATGTCACTCATTCCATTCTCTCTTAGCCTTGCATGTATTCATCTTTTTTATTAATTTTATTTTTTAATTTATATCCAAATTAGTTAGCATATAGTGCAACAATGATTTCAGGAATAGATTCCTTAACGGCCTTTACCCATTTAGCCCATCCCACCCCCCCGATGTATTCGTCTTTTAAGGATAAAACCACTTTTGTGTAAAACATTATAACCCACTATGATGTGGTAAAAGTATTAAGTAAGAGAAGATATCAAGTGCAATATTTTAATTCCAGTACCTTTTTTTTTTTTAACCTTCAGGGAGTTGGAAACTCAGCTACTGGAACAATGTACTGTTGACACAGGTGCTGCTAAAGAGCAGAGCCTTCCCTCTGTGATGGGTAAAACTATTTTCAACTATTTAATACTGGTTTATATTCCCTTTTCATTCTTCGGCTCATAATGGTTTTTTGCCCCATTGTATAGTTACTCTCTTTTCCCTCACGTCACTCTAATGACGTTGCTTCAGTTATAGGGTTATTCTTCACCTCTTAATCAAGTTCAGTAATTTAATCTTAGTCATACTTTCTAGACTTGTGGCATTGTGGATTATCATATACTCTTTTTTTTTTTAAGTTTATTTTTGGGGGGAAGGTCAGAGAGAGAAGTTGGGGGGTGGGGAGAGAAACAGAAACCCAAGCAGGTTCCATGCTGCCAGCACAGAGCTTGACATGGGGCTCGAAATCACAAACTGCGAGATCATGACCCAAGCCAAAACAAGTATCAGATGCCCAACCACCTGAGCCACCCAGGTGCCCCTGTCCTATACTCTTGATATTATCTCTTCCCTTGGCATTCTGAGCTCTCTTGCTTTATGATGTTCTATTATTTCTCCAGGTATTCCTTGGTTCCCCTTGTTTTTGCTTTCTCTACTGATATTCCCTAGGGATGTGTTCTTTTATTTCTCCCCCCCCCCACTGGTTTTTAACAGTGATCTCATCTGTTTCCGTAACTTCAGCTACATCAATATGCTGTTGATTCTCAAATGTGTCATTGGGCCTGACCTTTCTAAACTTGATACTCATATTTCCAACTGATTATTAGATGTAAACTAGGCATGTTTAGGTACCTCGCATTTAAGACCTTCAAAATGGGAACACATTATCTCTTCTTCCATATTTATTTCAACAAATTGTTATCAGATAAAGATGCCATCTTCCTTATCTCCCATTTTAGAAAACTGGGAGTTAAAAATCCTTTCAGTTCTCCCTCAGAAATCTCTTTTTAATCTCATCTCCTTTTCTCTATCGTCTGTACCACTGACCATCTGAAAACAAAGACATTGTAAACTAGACCCTCATTGTTTCTTGCTTGGATTGTTTCAGGAGAACATTCTCTGGACATATTCAGTCTATTTTCTACTGTTGCCAGGAGTAACTTCCACAATACAAACTTGATTACCTTGCTCTTTGGCTTGAGGGTTTCTGCTGGCTCCACAGCTTAAAATCCAAATTATTTGTTTGATAACACATTTCTTCCCAATCTGACTTTCTACCTTGTAGCCCTAACTATTCAACTTAACCCTGTGCACCTTTTTCAGCTACAGTAAATTTCGTATAGTTTTCCAGGCACCACTAGTCCTCCCATAAACCTGAGCCTTCATACCTGGATGTTTTTCTTTGCCTGGTTGGGTTTTTCATCCCTCTACATGACTCAGCCAGAGTGTCATTTTATTGTGAAGCCTTTCGCATTTTCCCCAAGCAGAATAAATTTCTCCCCTCTCTGTTAAGCCTTCACCAGCATTTATTACAGCACATATGACACATCCTCATTTACCTGTTAACTCACCAGTTTCCTTCAGTACACTTTAGGGATCTGTCTTACTTGTTTTTCAATCTGAAGCACTTAGTATACTACCTAGGCACTAAATAAATGTTGGAAAGAGAAAGACAGGTTTTTAGGACGTTTATCCTTGCTTATATTGTTTTCCTGTTTTTCTTTTGGTAGTTAAGATAATAATTGCATTCTTCTATATATTTTTCTTTTTTTTTAATTTTATTTAAAATTTAAAAAAAAAATTTATTTATTTTTGAGAGAGAGAGAGACAGCATGTGAGCAGGGGAGGAGAAGAGAGAGAGGGAGACACAGAATCTGAAGCAGGCTCCAGGCTCTGAGCTGTCAGCACAGAGCCTGGCACAGGGCTTGAACTCATGAACCGTGAGATCATGACGTGAGCTGAAGTCGGACGCTTACCCGACTAAGCCACCAGGGTGCCCCAGAGAGAGAGAATCTTAAGCATGGGCTCGATCCCAGGACCCTGGGATCGTGACCTGAGCCAGACAAGGTCATCACATTAAGAGTCAGACACTTAACTGACTGAGCCACCCAGGCACCCCTAATTTATCTGTTGCAGGTAAATTTTGTTACTCTTTTAGTATGTCATGAAGACAAAAGTATCCAAAGATAATGAGTTTAATGTAGCATTCGAAATATTTTTAATAAAGATCTTTAAAAGTGATGATAACATTTCCTTACAATTCTGAACTGTACATTCTTGGATACCCTTTCTTTAACCAACCATCGTGGTCTCTGATTTTAATCTTTCCGTGATATATTTTCCCAAATCTGAGTCTGTGATAGCCTTGCAGTCCTACTGACTGAGGAATTAAATCATATCATTGTTTGCTGAAGGACACGTGTAGGAGGATCAGAAATGCAAATACATTTAAAATATCTCTTCTCAAGGTTCTTAGCAAGGAGGAGAGGCAAATCTCATGTATATGTGAGTATCCTTATATGAACTTTGAATGAGTTCTTTCATTTAGTTTTTGGAACCTAGTTCGAAAAGAATAAATACATTAAAGTAACTTATAAAGACTAACCCAAGTACATTGATTCAACAAAAAGTGTACAGTTAAAAGCAAATTATGTAAGAATATAGGGGGGTAGCATCTACCCCCAGCTAAAATAAGGGTTTTATTTTCAAGCCTGCTTTACTTTTTTTTTTTTTTTTTTTTGCCTAAAGAAAACTGTTTCTCATGTTACAAAATTTCTTTGTTACATTTTGAAATTCATTTGAATATGCCTAAAGAAAATATAACATTAATTGAATGTTACAGTTTTTAGCACTTATATTATAGTTACATTTCTCTCATCTCTTCATAGCCAAATTAAAATTTTTTTGGAAATCTCTATCCTTTTGTGAGGTACGTTCCAACACTTAAGGATAGAAGTCTTCAAAGTTTTTGATCACACATTGACCCCATCAGTAAAAAGCTTTTGAGCATATACCTTCAATACATATGTGTGTTTATTTGTAAGTTCTATGTATACCACTATTACTATATTATGAAACACACAAAAGTAAGATTTTGGGAAGGACAAGATAATGGTAAATAATAATTCTAACGTTATACTTAACTAGGGCTAAAAGTTTTTTGTTCCTCAAAACAACGTGATAAAATACTTTTTTAAGGGTTATGGCTTAATATTTTGAAGGTGTGGCTTTCAAATTTAATTTATATTAATCCTTAGTTTTAGTGGCTGCCATAACTTAAAGACATAGCTAACAAGGTATGTAAGTTCAGATGGAAGAAGTGCATGATTACCCTTATTAAATCATGATTCCATTTTCAGCTATAAATTTCTGTCTTCTTTGATATAAATAATTTGTTCTTATAAATCAGAATATTTTTACATAATTAACAATGAGTTAAAAAGTCTGAGTTTAGAAGATTTTAATTTTAGGTTAGAAAATTTTGTTTCTAAGTATGACTTAGAGAACTAGATTTTTAGCAACAAAATCACATAAAAATGGTAATATATCCAAACATCCACCTTCTAGAGGCTCCCTAAATTGTATAGATTTCTTTGAATAGATACATTCTTGCTCACTTTTTTATTTTATTTAATTTTTTTTTTTAATTTTTTTTTTTTCAACGTTTATTTATTTTTGGGACAGAGAGAGACAGAGCATGAACAGGGGAGGGGCAGAGAGAGAGAGGGAGACACAGAATCGGAAACAGGCTCCAGGCTCTGAGCCATCAGCCCAGAGCCCGACGCGGGGCTCGAACTCACGGACCGCGAGATCGTGACCTGGCTGAAGTCGGACGCTTAACCGACTGCGCCACCCAGGCGCCCCTTGCTCACTTTTTTAAAATGTCACCTTTACCTTGAAGAAAAAAAGTTGAGAGTCTGTGTCTGATCCTTTCTAAAAATAAGTATTAGGTTAGCATATTACTGACATCACAGAAGGATAAGCAAACTTGAAACCTCACTTTTTGTACAAGAAAAATTAATAACTCCTATTTCTTCTAAGTAGTTTACCACAAGATACCCAACAAATCTTTTTATAGCAGAAAGGATTGTTGTGGTCAATTTCTATGTGGTGCCAATTATTCTAATATATTATTAGATCTTGTTTTTATCCAAGTTTTGAGTGTGTAATATCTGGTAGGACTTGGTGCACATCTGGCTTCAACTTCTGTGCTTTGGCTTGGCTTTGAAAAATGGTGGCGTTTCTATTTGGCTTTTAAAAAGCTACAGTACTTAGCTCTTTAAAAAATTTTGCGCAAATGGAAAGTGGAAATGTGAGTGCAATTTAATGGACTGGTTTTGCTTATTATTAAACTTGTCTAAATAAAATTTCTGTTTTAGGTTCAATTCCAGAAGGTGTCCTAGAGGACATTAAAGGTAAACTCAGTTCCCACTTTTGTCCCTTTTATCCTTAAGTATTAGTTTAGAGGGCATGTGTTTCTAAATATTTACAGATGTACAACATATATTCAATTGATAATGTAATATCCTAAAAGTATTTAATATACAGGATAAGCTATGTGATAATGTAAATAAAGTGTTTATTTTCCTTTAGATTTATGGAAGCTTTTGCCATTATTTATGATGTCTTATTGAAGAAACTACAATTATAGAGTATACAGTAATTCCAGGGAATTAATAGTTTGCACAGTATGAATAAACTGCTTAAGAAAGCCACTGGTTTTATGTTGTATAGAATTTTTTTTTACTCTAGTTTTTAAATACATATATACAAGGTTAATCATTTTACTGACTTTAGAAGTTCTATATTTGGGGCCAAAATATATTGGATTCACTTTTTTTTTTTTTTTTAATGTTTATTTTTAGTTTTGAGAGAGAGAGAGAGCGCGCTCGTGCGCGAGCACAAGTGGGGAAGGGGCAGAGAGAGAGGGAGACACAGAATCTGAAGCAGGCTCCAGGCTCTGAGCTGTCAGCACAGAGCCCAACTTAGGGCTCGAACCCACGAACTGTGAGATCATGACCTGAGCCGGAGTTGGACGCTTAACCAGCTAAACCATGCAGGCACCCTTGGAGTTGCTTTAAAAAGATATATTTCTTCTTTGCTAGAGTGTATTTTTATGATAATGTTTAAATTGAGTTTTCTGGTATTTTGATTCACTGAAAGGAAAAGCATTTAAAACATAATTTCATATTCTTCAGTACTGACAATGTCATGTAAAATTCATAAGAGAGAATCAGACAATAATGGATTTTAGAATTAAATGAGACCTGAAGATAATCTGGTGTGGTTGGGCCCTGAAATATTAAGTGATTTGTTCAGCGTAATACTGTAGGTCGGGTTAGAGCTGGAGCTGAAAGGTGGATCTTGTTCTTCGTTATGTTGTTTACTTATGTGATATAATTACCTAAAATTTCTTCACTTATTGTAATACCTGAGTTTTACAATATGTAGATACTTATCTTGCTTTGATATTTATGAGGACTTGAATAAAATAGATAATACCTGAGTAACTTGAGCACCTAGCTTACTATTAGCATATTAGTATATTGTAGATTCTCAATATGTTTTAACGAATAAAAAGACTCTTATTAGGATACATATATTTAACGTGTTTTGCAAGTAATTAACCAAGTCATTAGATTTTTCACATTCAACATTAATTTCGTTTCTAGTTAAACATTTTTTATTCCTTACCTTCTGAAAATATTTTGAAGCAGCTTGTTATAAAAGGTACTTTGCAACTCAAATAATTTTTGACAGAATAAATGTTCAAAGTGAAAAAAAAAAAGTGGGATAGTAGAGGGAAAATGGTAGTGTTGGGGTATGCTAGAGGTAGAAAATAATATGCCAAAAAACCCTAAACTAAGGGAGCCTTACTGCGGCTAAGAGCAAAATTTAGCCTTGCGTTCGTTCTGACCACGATTTTTATTTTATTTTTATTTTTTATTTTTTTAGAGAGAAAAGAGTGCATGCAAACAGGGGAGAGGGGCAGACGAAGAGAGAGAGTATCTTAAGCAGGCTCCGCACTGAGCATGGAGCCTGACACAGGGTTTGATCCATGACCCTGGGCTCATGACCTGAGCCAAAATCAAGAGGTGGACCTTCAACCAACTGAGCTATTCAGGCAACCCTGGCCAACCAAGATTTTTAAAAAGAATCAAATAGATACTTAAGATTAGGGATAGCAGTGGTTCAAAGGAACATGGTACTCAGAATAGCTACATATTCATAATACTAAATTTTATTACAGTACTCTTTATGCCAGGAATATAAAAAATATAGTTTTCTCATAGGTGTTTTATTTTTAATGTGGTTTTATGAAAGATGAGCACACAACATATCTTATTCCTCAGTGAATGAAAAAGCTTTTTATTTGTGAATAAATTCTCATAACCAAACTAAAGGCAGAGATAGTTTGTAAAATCTGAAGGAATAGCTGACCAGTATGTCCACTTGAATAGAATTGTTTTAACTGGGACAGAGATCGATTCAATCACAAACCATAACAAAATCTCCTTTTCTTTCTTATAAGTGCGCACTTGCTTTGTAAGTGATCTGAAACGTGGATTAAAAATCCAAGCAGCAAAATTTAATATTGATGGGAATACTGAGGTAAGTTAAAAATAAATGTATATTCTTTTTTTCAGAGGTTATAACCTATGTATTTATGCTTATGATATTTATATTTCAGCGTCCCTCACCACCCCCAAATGTTGACTACCCATTAGATGGAGAGAAGATTTTACATGTTCTTGGATCAATCAGGTAGACCTTAATTTTTATGAGCAAAATAATGAACTAAAATGAATTTTTGGCTTTTAAAAATATATAAGCTTTTAATATTGCTGATTTAACAATTTTATGTGTTTTTCAGTATGTCTCCCTGTTCATGATTAATTTTATTCAACTTCTTAATTTTGAAAAGTTTTATTTTGTAAAATTTTTAAAATTATATAAAAATATTTAAATTAAAAAAATTTTTTTCCTGCTCTTCATAGTAATTTAGAAGTAATGGAACTATTCTTCAAGGTAGAGAATAAAGTACAATACTTTAAAACAGGGTTCAGCAAACCTTTTTTGTAAAGAGGTTTGTGAGCCATATGGTCTCTGTTGCAAGTACTCAAGTCTACAATTTGGAATGCAAAATCAGCCACAAGACAATATGTAAATGAATGAGCATGGCTGTGTTCCAATTTACAAAGATAAGTGGGCTGGATTTGGCTTACAGGCCATAGTTTGCTGGCACCTGCTTTGAAACGTCATGTTAGAAGGAATGCGTTCTTCCAAATATGCTAAATCTTAAGGACCAGTTAGTAATTCACTTTTTCATTTTCTTTATTCTATCCAATGATGCTATGTAAGTTACAGACTTACATAATTATATTGGTAACAATAGCATTTTGTTTATATACAAGCTTTATAATATTTGTATGTACAGGGGCACCTGGGTGGCTCAGTTGGTTGAGCATCTGACTCTTGATTTCAGCTCAGGTCATGATCCCAGGGTCATGGGATCGAGCCCTGCATCGGGCTCTGCACGGAGTTTGGAGCTTGCTTGGGATTTTCTCTCTCTCTCCCTTTGCCCCTCTCTCCTGGTCACATGTGCACTTTCTCTAAAATAACAGTAAAAATAAATAGTTTGTAGCTCTTATAAAAAAAATAAAAAATAAAATTTGTATTTATAAGTTTCATTTGTAAAATATTAGAAGATGCCACAGAAAAGAATTATGTAGATATTGAAGATCTGAGTTAATACAGAGGTTGAGATCTATAAGGGTGAACATGAATACACAGATGTTACAGATGGTAGGATAGGAGAACAACAGAGTGAGAATGTAATACTTTTTGGTAGTAGCTTTTATCATTTTACCTCTTCTTTAGGTTATACTCCTTAAATTACTGTTTTAAATTTTCTCCAGGTTGTATAGTAGAGCCCAAAATACAAGAAGAAAACAAATGTTGAAGGAGATGAATATGCAACTTTTTGGTTCATAATAGCTTTTTGGTTATTTGGGAATAAAAAAAAAACACTGTGTCTCACATTTCAGACCCAGTGGATTTACAGTTGTCTGCTCATATGTTTTTTTCCTACTAAAAATCGAGTTCCATTGAAACATAATTAGACACGGTTCAGACCACACACACAGTTCATAAGTCAGAAGGGTCATTTGAATTTTTAAGTGCAGTGAGAACTTAAAGTTATTTGTGTATCCATCTTGGTACAGAATTCCTATTGGTGGTTTTTTTAGACTTTTATAGTTGGATTACCTGTATTAGAAAGATTTTAAAAATGATTGTCTTTTCGAAGCATTCAACAGTTCACATAGAAAAACGACTTATTTTCTACCCCTAGTATTTTGTGGGTTAAGTAACAGTAAAATTGCATAATTTCAATATCAAATCTATTGGCAATAAAAGACTTGGAACAAGAAAACTATTGTTCCGTAAGCATTCAACTCAACTGGTGGAAGTGGAATTATGCAGGCATTACAGCAGGTGGCTGACCACCTACGAGTGTTCAGCATACTGCAGGCCTCAGTAACCTTACTGATGACATGAGGAGCTGGTGAGTGGGTGGAGTCGCATGAAGAGAATTTTATGTTTTGAAGAAGATTCAAGAAAGCTTCAGAGTGGTGTGCATAGTCTGATCTAAATCTTATTTTTAAGAAATAGTGTTTATATATGCGTATGCGTAGGTAGTTTTGTATTGCATTGCTCAGGATTTAGTTTGGCCACCAGTGACACAAACCTGACAATAGTGGCTTCACCAAGATAGGAGTTTGTCTCTTTTCAGCTTTGTTTGTTTGTTTGTTTGTTTGTTTGTTTGTTTTTGAGAGGGAGGGAAGGAAGGGGGAGGTGAGCTGGGCAGGGGCAGAGGGAGGGAGGGAGAGAATCCCAAGCAGACTCCATGCTATCAGCACAGAGCTCCACACGGGGCTTGAACTCATGAACTGTGAGATCATGACTGGAGCGGACATCAATAGTCGGTGCTTTGCCATCTGAGCCCCTCGGGCGCCCCGTCTCTCTCTTTTAAAAGAAGCTCAGAGGTAGATAGTCCAGGAATGGTATGGCAGCTCCCACCAGGGACCCAAACATCCTTCATCTTTCATCCTTTTGGGGGTAGTCCTGTCTTTAGATACCAGGGCGGTCGATACAGTTAAAGCTACTATATCTGTGTTTAAAGCAAGCAGCCCTAGGAAGGGAAAGAAAAAAGTGCTCCTGTCCTTTTTAAGGAGATGTCTTTCAGAAGTTCCAAATGCTGCTTCTGCCTCCATCTCGTCTGTTCCTTAGCTACACATCTAACTACAAGGGAGGCAGGTAAATACAGTGTTTCAACGGGAGGAGGGCATTATATCCAGCTTAAAAATGGAGCTCTTTTTTTTTCAAGTTACAGGATTTACAGGATATTGCAAAGATGATATAGGAAAGCCTCATGTACTCTTCACGCAGTTTCCCCAATGGTTACACCTTACTTAACTGTAGTACAATAGCAAAACCAGTAAATTTGGCATCAGTGTAACATGTATATATAGTTCGTATAATTTTATCACATGTAGATTTCTGTAATCCCACCACAATTAAGATATAGAACTATTCCATCACCACAAAGACCTTCCTTGTGCTATCCCAAAATGGGTTCTTTTGAGAACAAATAGGAAAATGGAAAATGGGTATTTTATTAGGCAACTAGCAGTCTTTGCCATACGTTATTATTTTTTTTCAACGTTTTTTATTTATTTTTGGGACAGAGAGAGACAGAGCATGAACGGGGGAGGGGCAGAGAGAGAGGGAGACACAGAATCGGAAACAGGCTCCAGGCTCCGAGCCATCAGCCCAGAGCCCGACGCGGGGCTCAAACTCACGGACCGCGAGATCGTGACCTGGCTGAAGTCGGACGCTTAACCGACTGCGCCACCCAGGCGCCCCGCCATACGTTATTTTTAAAAACAAGAGAAATGCTTGGGGAGGGGACTGTTTTTAAATCTTTTGTATCACTACAGATCTTTTTTTTTTTTTTAATGTTTACTTTTATTTTTGAGAGAGAGAGTGCACACAAGCAGGGGAGGGACAGAGAGTGAGGGGATCAGAGGATCTGAAGCAGGCTCTGTGCTGACAACAGAGAGTCTGATGCGGGGCTCGAACTCATGAACTGTGAGATATGACCTGAGGCGAAGTTGGATGCTTAACTGACTAAGCCACCCCGGCGCCCCCAGATCTGTTTCTTGAATCTTAACTAGCTTTTATAGAATCACTTATTTTCTGTTATTAGGCTTAAGGAAGTATAACTGGACAAAATATCTGTTAATCTGTACATAATAATAGTTATAGTTAATACATAAGGAGAGCCTCCTGTGTACCAGGCACTGTTCTATTGACTCATTGAATCCTCACCTGTGAGGCAGGTGCTGGTCTCCTCATTTACAAATGCAAACACCTCGTGTTTTAATTTTTTTTTAATGTTTATTTTTGAGAGGGAGAGACAGAGTGCAAGTGGGGGAGGAGCAGAGGGAGGAGGACGCAGAATCCGAGGCAGGCTCCAGGCTCTGCGCTGTTAGCACAGAGCTGAGCTGTGGGGCTCAAGCTTCTAAACTGTCAGATCATGACCTGAGCCGAAGTCAGGCGCTTAACCGACTGAGCCACCCATGTGCCCCCAAACACCTTCTGTTTTCATAATTATTCTATGTTAACATAGTACTGGTACTTAAAAAATAGAACCGATGATATATTTTCTATCATATGATGCCAACAAAGCACTCTCTGTTTTTAATCTCACTAGAGATTCGGTTGTGGAAATTCTTTTTGAACAAGATAATGAAGAGAAATCAGTTGCCACTTTAATACTGGATTCTCTTATACAGGTATTTTGATTTTGCAAAAAGTTTCCATTTTAACTACAGCCCTTTAGAGAAACTGATGTTTTTGAGTAATCTCTCCACCCAATGTGGGCTTTGCATTGACACTTTCGAGTTCCAGAGCCACATGCTGTACGGACTGAGCCAGCCAGCTGCCCTGAGGAAATTTTTACATGTTATCTTCTGTATTTTTATTTTAGCTGTTGGTTACAATGTTAGCTTTTCTGCTAAATGTTACAGTTTCAGAGTTTGACTTTGGCACTGAAAGATGGTACTTAACAACATTTCAAACTCAGGGATAATAAGTGCTATCGTGTATTTTTTCCCTAGCAACAGTATCAGATTTTTATTTTGTACCTGGTACAGCTTGTAGTTTCTTTAAGTGCAGGTTTGGGTAGTATTGAATTTTAAATTCCATAGGGTATATGATAACGTCTTCTTTGTTTAATGACTGGAATCACAGAATTCCATGTGAAATACCATTGATTTGGAAGATACTGTCTACCTCTGGGGCTCTGCTCAGAGACTTTTATGAAAAACGTAGCATCAGTGAAAGACTTTAACATTCTCATTCTTAGAACTGATGTGGAAACAGTTTTTCTAAGTATGTTTTCTTCCCACTTGACAACTGGCTCTGGATATAATACTGTGAAGTTATCATATACTTTCTTTACTAAAAAAAGTAATGAAGTTCTTTTATTTCTTCTCCTATTTTTTGCTCGACTCAGTCATTCTGTCTTGAAAATGAGATTACTCACATAACTACCGTGTGTCCTGTGGAACTTTAAATTCTAAACTGTTAGATTTTAAAATCTTTCAAGTTCCATGTAAGTATATAGCAATATTTTCATGGTTATATTTGCTACATGAAAAACTCCCTTGTTAAAGAAATCTTGTGCGTTTTTTCTGTGGTAATAGTACTGATCACCTATTTAATTTATAACATAATCTGTATATTTTCTTTAATCCAGTCAAGCATTATTTATACAGCTAAGGATAAATTCTTTTTTTTCTTTCTCTTTAATAACAGTGCCCAATAGACACCAGAAAGCAGCTCGCAGAGAATTTGGTAGTCATAGGTGGCACGTCGATGTTGCCAGGATTTCTCCACAGATTGCTGGCGGAAATAAGGTATTTGGTAGAAAAACCAAAATATAAAAAAGTACTCGGCACCAAGACATTCCGAATCCATACTCCACCTGCAAAGGCGAATTGTGTGGCGTGGTTGGGAGGTAAGAATTTAGTTTTTACAATATAGATGATTATATAGTGATTGGTTCCTGAATGGTATATTAAATGGCTGTAATAGATTCAGTGTTAAAAATCATTCACGTAACAAACTAATAGAACTATTAAATAATTTTCTTTGAACATTGACTTTTCCTTGAAGTGTTAATTTTCAGAGTTATATCCCTATTTCTCTTGGCGTTTGCACTTTAATTTTTTAAATAAACTTCATCCAATGAAAATCATTTCTCATAATAGTGATAGCTGTGCCTTTATTCCAGTGCTGCTACCATTGCTCAAGACATTTGTTTTAGTTCCTTCTAAAGCTAACCTGTGAGTCATATATGAGAATTGATCTCTTTATTTTATAATTACACTTTATTTTGTGACTGAGTTCATTGAATGATAGTTCATAGGAAATGATAGTTTTGTTGAAATCAGGAAATAGCCTAGAGCTAGTATATACATATGTACTTTGAAGAGAAAAACAAGCATGGATGTGTATACCTGTATAATTCTGCTATGTGTTTTATGATGCATTTACAGCTAATAGGTATCTTGATCATGAGAAAAAGTATTGAGATTTTATTATTTATTTATTTATTTTTAATGTTTATTAATTTTTGAGAGAGAGAGAGAGAGAGAGAACAGGGGAGGAGCAGAGAGATAGGAAGACAGAATCAGAAGCAGGCTCCAGGCTCCGAGCTGTCAGCACAGAGCCCGACGCGAGGCTCGAACTCACAAGCCGTGAGATCATGACCTGAGCCGAAGCCGGATGCTTAACTGACTGAGCCACCCAGGTGCCCCTAAAAGTATTGAGATTTTAAATGAATGTTGTATTTCTTGTAAAGTAAAATTTGGTCAAAATGTAATTTTGGTCTAGGACAAATAGATTTAGTTACTGCATTATTTTTTATTTATTTTCTTTAAAAAATTGTTTTTAATGTTTTTTTTTTATTTTTGAGAGAGGGAGAGAGACAGAGCATGAGTAAGGGAAGGGCAGAGAGAGAGGAAGATACAGGATCTAAAATGGGCTCCGGGCTCTGAGCTGTCAGCACAGAGCCCAACATGGGGCTTGAACTCATAGACCTTGAGATCAAAGTCTGACACTTAACCTACTGAGGCACCCAGGCGCCCCAGTTACTGCATTATTTTTTAAAGACCACCTTGTGGGTCTTTATAAAGTCTTTAGCAGAGACTTGGGTGGCATTATAACGATGATTATTACGTTTTACAGTGCTGTTTTATTTATTGACATACAATCTTGGAATTGTGGCAAAGAAAACTAAAAGTATTATTTACTGTTTTTACACAGAATTAAAAATACTTTCCACTCCACTCTACCTCACCTGCTTTTAGACACAGTTAATGCTTGGTAGCATTTTCACTGTAGTCTGCTATAGGCCATTTAAGTCACTTTCAACACAGGAATTGTGGCTTACCCTGTTATTCAAAAATATAGGATACAAAACAGCTGCAATTAATTTGAAGAGTTGCTGAATTTCACCACTTCTCTCGTCAAATAATGAGTTGGACGTGTGTGTACATAAAATTTTCTAGTACAAGTTTACATCTTAAATAAAAATGGTTTTTTTGGTTTTTTTCATTTTTTTGTTTTGTTTTTTTAACCACACAGGAGCTATTTTTGGTGCACTACAAGACATACTTGGGAGCCGTTCAGTCTCAAAGGAATATTATAATCAGACAGGCCGTATACCTGATTGGTGTTCTCTTAACAACCCTCCGTTGGAGATGATGTTTGATGTCGGAAAAGCTCAGCCACCTCTGATGAAGAGAGCATTTTCCACTGAGAAATAAAAGTTTGATTAAGATTCAGCTTTGCTTCATATCAAGTATCTAATCGATTATAAGCAAATGGTACAAAGTATATAGGATGCTCTTAGAGATGACTTTATGGCAATGAAAACATTTCTCTAATGACTTTTTGCATTGAGATTCTTTTGACTTTTGTTTTTCTTGTGTAGTGGTAAAATGGTAGCTGATGCTTAATGAAATTTGTTGTATTTATATCAATAAAATATAGTAAAGCGGTTTAATTTTGGAAGTTTGTTACACAGTTTAATTTCAAAAGGAATATAACATTTTCCCTCCACAATTCACATAATCTGAGCTGAGCATTGGAAAGGTCATTAATTTCATTATTTTCAGCAATTATTTCAAGAATAAATAATATTACCATTACCAGGTATTTCAAATATTAACGTGGGTCTATTCAGATTCTTTTGTTTTGGTATTTATGTGTCCATGTTACAATGCTGCTTTTGCAGGAATATATTTGACTCTTTGGACTGAGAATGTTTAGTAACATAGTTAAAACATTGGTTAAGCAACATGTGCAGATGTTTACTTTTTAACTTTACAGTTTCTTTACGAACAATTCTACATTTCTAAGGAGAAAGATACTTCATTTTTATGCAAAGACATTCCATTTTATGTATTTTTATGTAAGCGCTTTATAAACGTGAAATTCATAATGTTTTAATCTCTTGTGCTTTTTGTCTTCTCAGGATAGGGGTGCTTGCAAATACGTATTGAGTCATTGTTTAATTTTTATCTTTGTTCATCTTCATTTGTCTTTAACAAACTACTTCTTACTGAAATTTTTATTTTATTCTTTCCATGTGCCTGTGAAAATACGTATACACCTATTTCTGAAGAATGTACTCATATTTCTTAAGCCAGAGTAGGAGTTGATACATTTCCTGGTCTACATATCCCATGTCCATTCTTACTCATAATTTAATCATTTTGATTGTCCTTTTCTGGGTGCTTCCTAGTTTTGCCATATGCTTTTTGTGTGAAGGTACCAGCTCCAGCTGATACTTGAAAGAGCTGGTTCCTGGCATGAAGAATAGGAAAGTGTGTGTGTGTGTGTGTGTGTGTGTGTTTTAAAAATACTTCTAGCTATACTTCATCACCACAAGACTAGTAGCACAAGACTAAGTAGCACAAGACTAAGATTCGTTCAGTATTTATTGGTCTGTCCACTTTGCATCTAGTGGTTTTAGACACTGTAAATGCTGCAGTAATGAGACCTGAGCCTTTGCCCTTAGGAGGTTGTCAGGTTAGTAGAAGTGGATGGTGCAAACTGATGACAGAATGTGGTAGCAGCCATAAGGGTATTGGTTTCTTGTTACTGATGTAGATGATCCTGACCAGAGAGTTGAAGAAAGCTTCATAGAGGAAGCTGTTGCCCTTGTTCCTGAAGGATGAATAGAATTTTAACTGGAGTTATTCTAGTCTATGTGAACTGAATTCTCTACACAAAGTCTTAAAACATTTGGCATGGAGATGAGGCATTGCTAGTTATAATTTAGGATGAGGTCATGAAGAACTTGAAAACCATATTAAAAGCAGCAAATAAAACTATGAAAGATCAATTTTGCCGTCCAGTTTCCTAATGGATTCATTCTGAAAAGTGAGATTCTTTTATCCTCTGGATCTGCCACTCTCCCACAGCACCCTTTCCCCAAAAGTAGTCATCTTTCCCAGAAGCACATCTCTGGAATATAAACTTCATGAGACAAAGCCCCTTTATTTCTTAGCTTTGAAACCTCTCCGTGGGATTGCCAGGAGTAGGTATACCATTAGTTGTTAATAGTATGGATTCGCTGTTGATTATTTTAAGTTTTTTTTTTTTTTTTTTTTTTTTTTTTTAAAAAACAAGACAGCGAGAGGGAGGGCGGGGCAGAGAGACAGAGGGAGAGAAAATCCCAAGCAGGCTCCATGCTGACAGTGCAGAACCCAATGCGGGGCTTGGACCCACAAACTGCAAGATGGTGACCTGAGCCGAAATCAAGAATCGGACGCTCAGCTGACTGAGCCACCCACGTGCCCCATGGATTCACTACTGTATTAACATTATCTTTTTTGTAGTAAGCTTAATTTTTAAAATTTTATTGAATTTGAGTTATTTATGAGAAGTTTCAACACTGAATAATATGAAAAATAAGATCTCTGAAATAGAGCTTTATAGGTATCTGGCTATAAAGTGATAGACACCTACCAGTTGAGTTTAAAGAATGGAGCCCCCGGTTAGGTGTTGAATTGTGTGCCGCAGAAAAGTAACGTTGAAGTCCTAACCTCCAGTATCTCTGAATATGATGACCTTACTTGGAAACGGAGTCTTTGCAGATGCAATCAAATTAAGATGTCATTTTGGTAGACGCCAATCCCATATGACTGGTATCCTTACAAGACGAGGGAAATGCCATGAGACAGATACACAAGGAGAAAACAGGTATTAACCAAGGCAGAAATTGGAGCTCCGCCCCTACAAGTCCAGGACCACCAGGGGTTGCTGGTGACACCAGAAAGCTAGGAGAAAGAAGCCTACAGCAGGTTCATTTCCGTTTTAAGCCACCAGTTGTGATAGTTGGGGATGGCAGCCCTAGGAAATGAATACACCCTACTTAATTCAGCAGTTCAGCATATATTTATTGAACATCTGCCGGAAGCTAATTTAGGCGCTTGAGTTACATTAGTGAGCAAAGACAAAAAGCTGTCGTTCCAAGGGGTAGAGAAAGTAAAGAATCAGATACTGACACAGTAAGTTAGAAGATAAGAGCAGTTATGGGGAAAACAACGTAGGGTAAAGTGGGTGGTGGCCTAGTTGCCGATGAGAACAGTGGTTGGGCTCATTTATTATTTGAAGAGAGAAATTAGGCAAGTGTAAATTTATATTAGGCCTCTGCCCATGGTTGCTGACACAGAGATCCTAAAACCCTTGTAATTTCCTGTGTGATGAGGGTGTTAGGAGCATTATACCAAATGCCTAAGAATTCCTTTGGTTAATAGGAGTGTCTTTTTTTCCTAATGAGGCAATTCTTGGAGGGCTCCGGGATCACTTCAGGATGAGGGCTGGTCACCAGAAAACTCCAAGCCATGATTAGAAGCTTAGAATTTTCACATTCACATGCAAATACCATCATGTCTTCTAGGGAGAGGAGAGGGACAGGAAATCATGCCTACCTCATGAACTCACTCTCCAACTGGAAACAGCAAACATCCTCTTGCCACCTGAGTGACTTTGTCAATTTCAGCTTTTATCTCTCCTGTGGTCTGCTTTCCCTATAGATAGGTTTTATTAACAACATAGAATTGCCCTTGAGAACACCCAATCCAGAAGGGGCCCTCACTTGTTAGGACTCCCCACCCCTGCAATATTACCCAAGTAAAGCCCAGATCCTATAATAGGTTCTTTCTAATACCCTCTTAACAGACACCCCACATCCCTCCATGCAATGTGTATTAAGCCAAATATTATTTATTTTGTTTATTATTATTATTTATTTTTTTTTTTGAAGGGGATTGTCAGCATTAAGAGATGGGAGAAGAAGGGTGAGCACGGGAGACTGCAGAGAAATAGAACGGTAACCTGCGGGAAAATTAGGTCAGTTTTTACTCTGTTTTAAGATAAAGAAATAACAGCACGTTTGTTTGTTGGGGGGGGGGGAGGGAGAGGGAAAAATTGGTCGTTTAGTAGGAGGAAAGCCGGTGGATAACCTGCGGAGGTAGGGGCCGGGTGCTCCCGATGGGGTTGCTTTCCGTGAAACGCGGCTCGTTCCCCTCCCGGCGGGGTCCGGGAGCTCCGGGAACCTGCCTCCTGCCGGCGGTCCCGCCCGCGTGCTTTCCTCTGATGCGGTCAAACTTCTCAGTGAAGAAGGCGGAGATCCTGCCTCCCCAGATACCGAACTGCCTCTCCGAATTTTCACATCTCCGTTCTTTTGTGCTTCTGGCCCAAAGAGCCTCACCTTTAACAGAATGCTAACTTCCTAATTTCCACCCAATTGGATGGATAGATCCCAAGCACAGTCCCAGGAACAATGGAAGAAACCTTGAAGAGGCACCGTCAGTGTAGATCCCAACACGGAAAGAAACGTTTCTCACGGCATGTTTGTTTCTCCAGGGGATCGTCCTCGCTCGCTACCCCCCCCCCCCCGCCCCTTTCCTCAGGACACGCCCTTTACTGAGAGGAAGAAAAAGTAAAATAAACATAGACGTGAAGGAAGACATTTTCTCCCAAGTCCTCCCCCACCTATCCATCCGCCCGCCAACTGCTTTTACGTAGGATCTCATAGTTCTTGAAAGCTGCCAAAATTGGGGTTCGTAATTTTGTTCCCATAAAAGGAAAAATCTCCCTCTACCAACAACTATGCAAGTATGCATAGGAACACGGAAAACCAGTCTCAACTTTAAACTGTAACCTTTCGGCTTCGTCTGTGCTCTAAGGAGGTGGTTCAGCATTGCTGAAAATCATTTGATTTCATATGTGCAAGCGTAGCTCGAGAGCGGTTTCGTTTGCCAAATGGTTTTTTCTCCCTAGATTTGCTTAAAGCATTAATTCAGTTTAGAGAACTCTTCTTAGCTATGATGATTTGGAGGAACCCCAAAATATTTCAAGGGGAAATAGAATTGAAGCCCAAAAGCTTCTGCGCCCAACGTGGGGCTCGAACCCACGACCCTGGGATTAAGAGTCCCATGCTCTACCGACTGAGCTAGCCGGGCGCCTGTGGCACAACTGTGTTTTTCTGTCTCTTGATCAGTGTTCAACTACACTTGGTTTTACTTCTCTATATTACTTTTTACTTATAAAAATTTTTGTATCATTATTAAATATGCAATTCCGAATTCTTTTTAAGAATTCTTTAAAAACATTTAATTTTACTTACATTTAATACTTTTATTTTGTGTGTATCCCAAGATCACTGAAAACTTACGAGAGTCTGTATTATTAGAATCATTGACTCTTTTTTAAGTGTTTTAAAATATTTACTGCCCAATATGTTATGTTTTTTACAGAAACACTTAAGGCTATCTGCCTTCTATCAAATGGCAGATTGGATTCCTACAATTTGGGGCGCAGCATTAGTAAACTAAGTCCAACCTCTATGACGTTAGTTTCACGGAAGAACAGTAGCGCTTAGCTAATTTTCCTTTAATGAGATCTAGTCAAGGAAAGTTAAATTGAAGAAGGGGATTCTGGTTCAATTAAAATAAGGTCTCTTTCGGTAACTGCCTGACGATGGAGACATAGGACCCTCAGGGGTTGTTATTACCATCCGATTCAAATGACAGAAGCTGGGAGGAAAGGATTATAGAGTCACTGAATCCTACAGTCAAGATTATTAATTCTAAGAGGAAAAGAGAAGAACGGACTTTGATCAAATTTTGACAACCCGAGACAATGGATCAATCTCCTATGGAAATATACATATCCTGAAATATTAGTGAACTTCTTTAGACAAGGAACTCTGCAAATCTCTGTGATGGGGGCCATATAAGTCTAATTGTATATAACAAAGAATAAAGAATTCTTAAATTTCAGTATTTAGAAATTTAACGCATTGGCCATCACTTTTTCTGAGCTACTTAATTAAGAAAATAATTAGGTATGGCATAAAATAATATTATATATTTAAGTACTCAAAGTATGCCTAGGATTTAAGTAGAATATTTAAAAATTCAAGCCTAAAATATTAA